CTGCTGGCCATTGAGAGGACACTGGTCAAGTCACTGGAAAAGACGCTTAGTTGGTACGACAGGGTCACAGACCATTTTCTTGAAAAGGAACATAGGGCAGAATTTACTTTTAAATAAATAGACAATTTTATGATGTAGGCCGAAAATGAGCTTCCCCTATTTGACAGACCAGTAGCCGCCACTGATATATATACTGTATAAACCATACCAAAAAGCACACAGGCTACAATGATTAGGTTTTTTATTGTATAATTTGATGAATTAGCTACATTTTGTATCATTTGGTTTTCAGCAAAATTTTGCAATTTCACCAAAGAAATCTATAATAATACTCAAATTACTGTTAAAAATAACCCCTGAAGTTAGTGGGATAGTTACAGAACTGCTGACTCACCTCTGTATTAAATCTCTTTCTCTCTTTCGATTTTCCTCAGATTATGAACTACGTCTCTCTTCCAGGAGCTTCAGCTTTGCACCAGAACTCTTTTGCTTCCACTGTTTCGGACAGTATCTAAAATAGTGTCTGATTTATGAGTGTAACTTCCTGCTTGTCGGTCTTTCCTTCCTTAGTACAGTGACATTGCATAATCACCCCACCTCTGCCCTCATTTCCCATTTGATCCCTTCTCACAAAGTTCTATTTTACTCTAATCCTGCCCATTGTTTACTGTCTTTCCACTTCTCCCCATTTGCTGCACGTGAACTTTGTCTGAGTTCCTACATCCACAGTGTGTCTGTGACTGCACAGTAGTCTGTGTGCTTCCACAGCGAGTGCAGTACGTGTGTCCAGTTGCAGTGTAATCCACGTCTTACCAGAGGTTGCCTGCATCTGTGATGCATGTGTTTGTGTCATCATGCATGCTTTGTGTTATGTGTACACAAATGAGCGATGGCATCCATTGCACGTTGCTAATAAATAGTTCAGTATTCAGTCCGTTTTTCCAGTCCCTTATCACTTGCTTCCCACAAAAAATAAACAAGCTGAATGCGTTCTCCACAGAAGTCACTGCACTTCCTTATGCTGTAAAATTGTTTTGCCACTCACAGATGTGTGACATTGGATCATTTTCTTCAATAAATGAATGACCAACTATGATATTTTTGTCTCATTTGTTCAATTGTGTTCTCATCACCTACTTTTAGGACTTATGATGTAAGTCATATTTACACAGGAATACAGAAAATTCTGAAGGCTTCACTAACTTTCAAGCAGCACAGTAATTCCACACAAAAGAAAATGTAACATTAGAAATCAGTGACTTGCAAAAGTATTGTACCCCCCTTAAAATGATCAGATTTTCCCAAATTACAAATGACTTGATTCAATTCAATTCAATTCAATTCAATTCAATTAAACCGAATTCAGTTTTATTTGTATAGCGCATTTTCACAATATTTCAGTTGGGAACGTAGTCATGGGGAGTTCTTGAATGTCAGCACTCTACAGTGGTGCTTGAAAGTTAGTGAACCCTTCAGAACTTTCCATATTCCTCCATAAATATGACTTAAAACATCATCAACACCAGACCTTCAAATTACCTGCTAGGTTGATATAGTTTTGCCACTCACAGATTTGTGACATTGGATCATTTTCCTCAATAAATGAATGACCAACTATGATATTTTTGTCTCATTTGTTCAATTGTGTTCTCATCACCTACTTTTAGGACTTATGTGAAAATCTGATGATGTTGTCATATTTATACAGTAATACAGAAAATTATGACTTTCTAAATTATGACTAACTTTCAAGCAGCACAGTAATTCCACATGAAGGAGTGTGAAGCTAGAGTGACAGCACTGACAGTTCAATTCATCCAAATCCAATGGCACCAATCCCCACCCAGCTCTAAACCTCACACTGTAGGCCTAACTGAGAGTAAGCACTTAGCTAAACCCAGAGTCCCTATAAGCTGGACTACACAAGTGTGTTTTTTAGTCTAGACTTGAGTATTGAGAGTGAGTCTGAGTCTAGCACATGGGTGTCACACTCCAGTACTGGAGGGCCAGAGACCTGCACATTATTGAGTTTCCCCTCATTTAACATACCAGATTCAACTACTTGTGCTAATTACCACTTAACTCTTGAGATGAATCATTTGTGGTGGAGCAGGGAAAGAACTAAGCTAACCAGGGCTCTGGCCCCCCAGGACTGCAGTTTGACACCCCTGGTCTAGCACATCTGCTGGTATAGTATTCCACAGCTGTGGAGCTCTGTAAGAGAATGCTCTGCAGCCTGCTGTAGTTCTTTCTACTCTAGGGACTAATATATATCCTGCTCCTTGAGAATGAAGCAGGCAAGGAGGGTTATAAGAGATCAGTAGATCTGTAAGTTATTCTGGTTCAAGGTCATTCTGTGCTTGCTAAGTTATTAGTATTTTTTGTAGTGAATCCAAGACTTAACTGGAAGTCAGTAAAAGGAGCATAACAGGGCTAATGTGATCAGTTTTTAGTTGTTGTAAGAACTCATTTTGTACCAGCTGAAGTGTATTTAAGGATCCAAATGGACAAGCAGAAAGGAGGACATTACAGTAGTTCAGCCTGGAAGTTATAAAGGAACGTATTTATTTCTCAATCGTGAAAGGAGAGCATACTTCTTATACTTTAATACTTCTTATGTAAGCATCGAGTAAGGAGCGCTCCTTTACCACCAGCATCTTTGCCAGATGAGGAAGTTTCAGGTTTCTCCACTGATTCTTAGGACTTTTTACTCCGGTACTGTGGACAATGTCCTGACCCAGAACATCACATCTTTGTACAGAAAAAGCTGTGTATAGGACATTAAGGGACTACAGATAGTGATTCGGGGAGCAGAGCGCTGTACCAGATCTTCTCTACTGTCTCTGCAGGAGATTGATACCAGGAGATGCCAGAGCAGAGCAATCAGGATCATCAGAGACTCGTCTCATCCCAGTAACTGTCTGTTTGAGCTGCTGAAATCAGGCCGGCGCTTTAGGAGTATTATGGTAAAAACAGAGAGACTCAGGAAGGAGTTTCTATCCTCAGGCCGTACGACTTTGTAATCAAGACATGCCACCACTACATCCTTAATATACACAATTCAAGTAAACTCTTCCTATCTGTCACCAACTGGCTATTTGAACAATTTGTAAATACTTATGACACCTGCAACAAGTCACACTGCACTTAAAATACATAGTTCTAACATCATATGCACATATACAGTTTAAACCTTAAGATTATTTTGTAACTGTCATCAGTTACTTTAATAGCACAAATCATATTTTTGAATATATAGGCTAGTATTTTTTGGGTTATTTATGCATTTTTGATATTTGTTTGCATGCACTATGATATGCCTAGTTTATATGGGGCATTGGAGCGGAACATTTTATTGGGAGCTAACTTCCTGTAGGATGTAATTTTGTGAGCACACAACAAAAAAAAAACAAATTCTTCAGTGTAACGGTGATAAAGGAGTTTATTCACAAAATGAACTAAAGGTGTTATTTTAAGTTGCTGTATGACATATATGTTTAAAGAATTGTTCTGGAAATGCGTTGTGGAGAAAGCTGAGAGTTATGAAGTGAAGAATTAGCTCCTTTGGTAATAAGCTGCCACTGAGGTATGTGATCTAATGTTTGTAATAGTTAGCTAATCTAGCCTGCTAGTTGGCTACGTTAATTTAGTGACATCTGTTCAATGAGATTAGCACCAGTTTAATTGTTGTTTTATTATCAGTTTTCACGGGACAAATCGAGCAATGATGGAATAAAAGATTTCCCTGTATTTCAATCAAAACTTTGTCTCTGTATATAACTGGGGAGCTACAATTTTCTATATCAGAACAACTTCTATATATCTCTGTACTATGTATATATTTTATTCTTAGTTTTTTTTTAACTTTTAGTTTATTACAATTATGATTTTTTAACTTGCTGACTTAATTCTTTATTCTGTTTTTGATTTGCACAGTCTAAGGGTCGTTCAGGGTACATTTCACTACATGTTGTACTTGTATAACTATGTATGTGACAAATAAAGTATTTTGTATCTTGTCTGTGATGTTCATTCAGGCTGATCCTGCTTCTGGAAATCTTTGGCTCCATCTGGTGGAAGCCCTTTGAACAGCACAGGTACATGAGCCTGAGTATCCTTTTACTCGAACACTGCAAGCTATATTTCTGTCCTGAACCTGAGGGTGGTGTTTGCCATCTTTTTCTGATAGACTTCATCAAACTGCTCATTCTGAGCCACAGTGAAATGATTTTTCCAGTCAGAAACCTTTCCTAGAAAGAAAAAGAGAGAAAGAACACATTCTGATCAGAAACTAGAAATAAACACTTGAGATGAACAGACTCTTTCTGTTATTTCTCTTGATAAGTGCTCTGGTATCTCTGCATGTAAATTCTGCAAGACATTCATCAATCGGCCGAATGAATTCATCAATATTCATCAATATGTCCGAGTGCCACAAGCTCATATTAGATCGTAACAAACTTATACAATATGGAAAAACCCAATTGAAATATTTTGTGATTACTGATTACCAGTGTACTTCTAGCAATGGCAGCAATCAAAAATCCTGACAGATACTGACCTGTCATACACTATCTGCTGTAAAATGCTGATTGTGCCACATATATGAACAGAAGATGCGTTAAATGAGAGGGAAGAGATGGAGATAAAGACCACTGTATCTGATCAATGTATCAGTCTTTAGTGAGTATTGGACCTTTTAAATTATCAATCAGGTTTGTCACTGTCAGAAGATCTCAGTCTCTCATTCTCCTGGTCTCCTATCCCTCTCCTTCACCATCATTAGGAATATCATAACCACCCACCTTTTCGCATGAATGGTGAAATTTTGAAATCCATGAAACTGAAGGTGGAGTAGTTGGCCATTTTATTCTTCTTCATGGTGTCGAATGCCACCTCTTTTATCACGTGATCTTTCTCCTCCTGCGTTGGTGAGATGTTCAGGAAGGAGCAGATCTTCTCTATCTCCTGGGCCGTGTCCTAAGAAACACAGCAGTCTGAGTTTAGAATGACGGTGCAATACAACAACCTAATCTGTGTTACTTAGCGGTTCATATTCACTGCACCTGCCTTTGTTACTGACATTTGCATTATTTTAGTCTGTTGCTGGACTACGGTGCAACTTCCGTGGCTATTTCCAGGTTCTCACCTCAGCAAGGTCTTCGTAGAACATGTAGTGGATGTTGGCGTATGTCTGCTTTTTCTCCCACCATCCTTTCACATGGTCGTACCATGAGCCAAACACCACTGGGACAGTAGGGTGAAAAGAGAGTGTGGCAATGCATGTCACATGACCTAAAAGACTCAGTTGCATACTTGAGTCACTCACTCTACACGGTCCTGCACAATCCTGCTCATAATTTCCCCCATATCTACTCACCTTTTCCCTCCTGAAACCTTTGCAGATAACTGGGCCAGTATAATGGTAATAGCACAGGGGCAGCAAATGTGTAGCACCCCTGGAGTTGGGGATTAAGGGCCTCGCCCAAGGACCCAAGGGCCCAAGGACATGTGACTATTCTGCCGAGGCTGGAGCTCAAACCAGTGATCTGATGACACAAGCTAACATTTGGTACTTGTAGTCAACTTCTTGATGAAATGGGCAGGGATGAAGATCTAAGTGACTTTGACAAGGGCCAAGCCATTGTGTTCATAGGACTGGGCCAGAGTATCTCAGAAACAGCCAGGCTTGTGGGATGCTCACGGCCAGCCATGGTGAGTGCCTATTGAGAGTGGTCTAAGAAGGGAAAGAATCATGAACCACCGACGGGGTGTTGGGCGGCCAAGACTCAGATGTGAATGAAGGCTGTCCCATGCAGTATAAACCAACAGAAGGACTACTGTGGCACAAATGGCAGACAATTTTGATGATGATCATGGGAGTACTGTGTCAAGACACACAAGGCATCATATGCAGTGTATGGGGCTATGTAGCTGTAAGCCAGTCAGTGCCCATTCTGACCCCTGTCGACTGTCAAAAGCTCCTACAATGGGCGTGCAAGAGTTGGAACTGAACCTTGGAGCAATGGGAGAAGGTTATCTAGTCAGATGAATCCCATTTTCTGTTGCAAACCTTGTTCCAGAACTTGACACGCTTCACATGGGGGGGTGGTCCTACTGTTTTGGCTAATCTGTGTATATCATGCTTATTTTAGGAATCATTGGAAATTCCAGTTGAAATCAATTTTCCCATAGTTACATGATCTGCATGCAATAAAATAACAGCGAAGAACATGTGCGTCAGCGTTTGACGAAGTCAGACTTCAGCATATATTCTACTTTGAAGCAGGCAAAATCCTGTTCCATTAACCTATTTTTCATTTTGAAGATGCTTTTACAACTTTTTTCTGATTGCTGTCTCTCCTGTAGGTACATTTCGGATGCGAATCTCTAGGAAAGGAACTCTTTCATATATAGGAATGGAGGTCTGGCGGCCAGGATCAGACTTTCCAAAGTACAGCAGGTCCAAAATCTGGGAAACCCAGGTTGTACCTAAGTGAGAGAAGCGAGGGTCATAATAAACTCAGTCATACGCTGTATCCAGCTGAACATGATGACATACAGTGATGTGAACACCAGTGCAGTCTTGACAAAAAGGCAGGCAGGTGTAGACTAACATACCTGCTTTAGCATAGGTTGCGATCACAATGTCATCAGGTCTGGCCTTGAAATTCTGCACTTTGTCCCAGCTATCAGTGAAGTAGTGAGTCATAGACACACCGTGAAAATCAAACAACTCTGGACGATTCAGTTCCATGCAAGGAAAGGACATTTCTGTAAAAAAAAAAAAAATAACAATCAATGATTTTTAAAAAGCATAATAAATATAACGTACAGCATATTATCTAGCCATCTCAGAAATAATTCAGGATTGTGGTTTTTACATTAACCTCTTGCAAATTTTTCTAAAGATAATATTCACTTTAACATAGTCATGGGGAGTCCTTGAATGTCAGCACTCTACAGTGGTGCTTGAAAGTTAATGAACCCTTCAGAACTTTCCATATTCCTCCATAAATATGGCTTAAAACATCATCAACACCAGACTCTAATCTTAAGAAATCAGTAGATCTGTAAGGTATTCTGGTAAGGTACTCTGACTACTGTGTTAAATTGAGTAGGAAAATTCAACAGGGTTCCCCCATTTCTGGCAGAATAAATTTCCATGTCTTTTCCAAAACTTTTCCAGTACTATAAGAAAATTTTAAAAAATTCTCGTTTGCTTTGATTTGATGATCATGCAGTTTCAAATAGTAATACTACAATTTTCAGTATGATAATAGCCAATCTGCTTACCAAATAAACACAGACGTGGACAACTTTTGCCAATGTGCAAATAAGTGTTCAATTATTAAGAAAATTAATCCCAATATTAAAATAATTATACATACCTTATGATTGGTAGAGGCAAACGGAGTCAAAATCAAGACACTGTGATCAATAAAATTCAAATACGTGCAAAAAACTAAATAAATAAAACAATAAAAACTGGAATAGCGAGCAAAAAAGCAGCGATCTCAAATACGCTTTTAACGGTAAAAGTGCCGGAAAAGGATGTTTACCAAGATAGTTAACTAATGACTTCAGCTAGTACATTTCTGTTATGAAATGAAACATTTCCGTTACATAATGAAAAAGGCTAATTTCCAAAACGTTTCTTCTGTATCCAAGAATTCCAAAACTTATCCAGGTCCTGGAAAAATTATTTAAAAATTCCAAAACTTTTCCAGGTTTTCCATGACCGTGAGTACCCTGCACCAAGGTTGAGGTTGTCAAACTATTTTGAGCAGACTTAGGACCAGGACTCTCAAGTTTCCTCAAAAGTTTGGAGTGAGATTACATCTGTTAGGGTCGGAGCATGTGTCTCATGGTCCATGCAATGGGTGAGACTTGTGAGCCCTGCCTACTGCGTTCATCTGATCTTGCTCTTCCACTTCAGCCTTGTCTGCACTTGTATGCACATCCATGTAATAACATTCTTGCAGCGGGATCACGTGTAACTTATTTTGGAATTTGCCCAGAAACAAATGCTATTTTCTGGCTGGTAGGTGGCTATTAACTCTGTATAACTCGGGAGAGCTATGGACTCGGTGGAAAACTCCACTCTGTATGCCTGTAACTTGTCCATTAATTCTATATAATGATACACCTTCATGGGCGTTATCCCTTCGCAGTGTGAGAAATATAAGGTGTGGCATGTGAGTGTGTGAACTGGTTGAAATAAGTGTGTGAGACCTAAAAGGTTGGCTTAGGACCAACTAGAAGTATTTCAATTTTTTCTGTGTTTAACACAAGGATTTTTTTTTGCCATCCAATACCGTATTCCATTCCATTCAGACTAGTATGGTGCTGAGGTATCACCCGCCACATGGCTGCAATGAGGTTCACATCTGTAAGGTGGTTTGTCATGTGGTGAGTCCGGCAACGCACTGTGATCAGTGCATGCTCCTTACCCCTCTCTCTCAACACCGTATGTTTAGTACACAACTTTCTAAGCTAGGGAGCTGGAATGCATTATCTAGTTTAACAGATATGTATATCTGTGTATCATCAGTATAACCATGGAACCCAACACCATGATTTCTAATAATGTTACCAAGTGGTAGCATGCATAAAGTGAACAGTAGCGGGCCCAGCACTGATCCATGTGGGACACCATATTTGACTTTAGTGGACTTGGAAGATTCATCATTCACATGGACAAACTGATAATGATCAGTTAAATAAGAGCGAAACCAAGAGAGAGCTGTCCCCTTAATGCCAGCCACAGATTCCAGCCGGCCCAAGAGAATATTGTGGGCCACAGTACCAAATGCTGCAGTGTTAGATCTTGTAACACCAACAAAGATATACAGCCATGATCGGAAGCCATAAGCAAATCATTCATTACTTTGACTAAGGTTGTTTCTGTGCTATGATTTGATCTAAAGCCAGTCTGATATAATTTATCAGCTTCATTTTTCTGTAGGAAAGAAGACAGCGGATGAACAACAACTCCTTTCCAGGATCTTTGAAATGAAAGCAAGATTTGAGATCGGTCTATAATTTACTAAATCACTAAGTTCAAGATTTGGGTTCTTAAGAATAGGTCTAATAACAACTATTTTAAAAGGTTTTGGAACATATCCAAGCTTAAGAGACAAGTTTAATGGGGTAGTGCTAATCAGTGGTGCAATCTCCTTAGTTAGTAGAAGATTTACAGGAAGAAATTACACTTATTATCTAATAATGGATTTGGTTTAATTTTCATTAAATTATTATGGTGGGGTGCAAGCATAATCCAGGGACTGGAGAGAGCAATGGCAGGGTACACAACACAAAGTTCTTTATTAGCTGTGTAACCACAGCCAGGCAGGGAGAAGTGAAGGCAGAATCTCTCCCAAAAGGGGAAAAAAGGAAAAAAGAGGGAAAATGAATTAAGGCAGAACTAAAGCGGGCATGCTAGCAGGGTAGGAACCTTTGGGGTGCCTTGGTCTGCTGGTGAGCACGTTTAGAGGGAGCAGAGTGGCCTGCGTGGCAAACCCAGGTGGAAGTGGTGCATGTCTGCTACGCGATCTTCACACCAACTGCCTCATGTGTAGGGTTGCTACCTGTCCCTTATAAATCGGGACGATCCAGTATTGGAACATGATGTGTCCCATATTATATGGGATGACGGTGGTGACCCGACAGGCTTTCTGATCAGGGGAAGAAGGATCGACATTGTTAGCTCTGACTAACAATGTCATAGTAAATGGTCTTAGTGTGTATGTCAATCTGATTTTTATTTTTTTACATTTTTTATAAATCTGCTAAAATTTCTAAACTCCTGTTTTTGCTTTATTGTGATGCGATATTCAGTGTGATTAATGAGGGAGAAATTGAATGTAAACAATTTTAACGTAAGATTGCAGCATACAATGTGGGTGAATAAGCGAATACTTTTCTGAATGAGCTGTAAGTAGTAGCAGGTGAGCAGGGACCCATTTCTTACAGAGTAACAGAACTTTGATATGGATGATCAACATAACTGCCTTCTCCTTCTGAACCTACTTTCTGGAATATTTCAGTATCCATCTGCAAATGATTTGTACCATAGACCATGCCCACCAGGACTATGATCGCCAGCAGTGAGCAACACAGTGACCCGATGCTGGCCAGGTTAAGGTTGTGGCTGGGCGAGGGCAGGCCATTGGGCTGGGAGGCAATCGGCACCACTAGCCCAGAACCCAAAGTCTACTACTCCCAGTGGGACACCCTGGAAGAACATGAAGGGTTGTTGCATCGATGCTGGTGATCACCAGGTGGCGCAGGGGAGCCGCCGCAGCTACTGGTGCTCCGGAGACTGCGCCCTGCCATGCTGAGGTTGGTGCACGGAGCCGTTGGGGCCGGGCACTTCAGGGGGAAGAAGATGCTGGGCAAGCTGCGGCAGCATTTCTACTGGCCCGGCTGCCAGCAGGACTCTGAGCTGTTCGTGCACTGCTGTGACGTGTGCATGGCTCGGAAGGGTCCCAACCAGCAGTCCCTGGGCTCCCCTGCAGCTGTACCTGGTGGGTGCCCCCATGGAACATGTGGGGGAGGGTATCATGGTCCCCTTTCCCTGAACTGAGGCCAGAAACAGCAAAAATAGCATGGACTTTTTCACAAAGCGGCTCAAAGCGTATGCAGCTCCTGACCTGAGCGCCGCCACCACAGCGGCTAAGCTCCAGGAGGAGTCCTTATGCAGGTTCAGGGCCCCCGAGGAGCTGTACAGTGACCAGGGGAGAAAGTTCAAGGTGTTCGGTGAGGTCTGCCAGTGGCTGGGGATCACGAAGTCCCACACCAGCCCCCTTCATCTTCAGAGCAACGAGCTGGTAAAGCGGTTTCACCATACCCCAACTACACAACTGGCGATCTACGTGGCTGAGCACCAGCATGACTGGGATGCCCACCCGCCATTGGTCCTGTAGGCTTATCGCAGAGGTACAAGGAAGTACCGGCTGCAGCCCAGCCACTTTCACGTTCGGCCTTGAGCTGCAGACCCGGGTGGAACAGTTGTTCAGCTTGTCCACTGAGCCAGAGCTGCTGCTCCCCACACACTGGAGAAAAAAAAAAAGATATCGCCAGGTGCTCGTATCTTCTGCACAGTGATGCAGTTAGTGTGTGAAGTTCAGTAGAATAAAATAGTTCGTACATTAAACTGCTCAATACAAAGACTTAGATTATCTTCAATAACCGGGTAAGAGACATTGCTGTTTAATTTTTCACATGTATTTTTCTGTCGCTTTAATCACCACAGAAAGAATGCCATTCAGTCCCATTATATTCAACAGAAGCCAGACATTTCAATGGCTGATATCTCTGAAACTAAGCAACTGTCAGTAGAACAACCTAGATGGATAGATGGCACTAAAACCCTTTAAAACACATCATTTTCAGAGAGAGAGAAAACTTAGAGTGCTGGGCTGCGGGCGTTCCGTGTGTGGCGTATATCGTGACGACTTCCGCTGTAGGGGGAAGGGGGAGGGCAAAAAAAAAAACAAACAAAATGGCTGCCGCCACAGAAGTAGCGTTGACTGAATCACACGTGGGAAAGAAAAAGAAAAAAAACGTTAGTATTACTATAATTTGCATTACGTCTTACACTGTCACAATTCCACATAGTTTTTGTAGTTATTAAAGTGGGTTTTGTATGCAGTGTTATCTGACATATTAGTTCGCGTCTTAATTCAGCTCTTGATTTGCTTTTTTCATTTTCATTCTGAGACGTAATAACATGACGTTACCATGATTTATGTAGAATTGCCAGTTGTTTCTAATATCTCGATGCTTTTAAATGTATTCAGGTAAGTAATTTTAACTGGGTTATATATACATGGCTCGAGATATAAAAATATTTCAATGGGCCGGTTATCCTCGACTATAGTTTGCTGTCGAGTGCCCCTCATACACTCGGTAGATTTACCTTTACAGGAGTGACAAGAGTTTAGGGGGTTAATGGGGGGGATTTTCAATGGGAATTGTTTTTCATTTGCTTCCAGGGTGGGGATGGCATCCACGTGTATCTCATGATATCTCTAGCCGTGTGTGTGTGTGTGTGTGCGCGTGTGTGTGCGCGTGCGCGCGCGTCAGTATGTATGTATGTATGTATGTATGTATGTGTGTCAGTATGTGTGTGTGCATGCGCTGGTTCTTTGGTTCACTGCTTCAAAACTCGAACAGTCCACATTTTTATTCCTTCCCAGCTTCCAGTACACGTGCACAGTATGTTCCAGATTGTGTGCTGGGAACGGGGAGGGAGCAAAAATATGGATGGACTGTGGGTCCCCGGAGATTGACTTGAAAAGCACTGCTTTAGTTCATTATCTGTCAGAACTGTGCTGTTTAAAAATTAAGTTTTCGTTTACATTAATCTTGCAGTTTAATCCAGTTGTTATCAATCATGATTCTGTTATTTAACGTTCTAGAAGACTTAACTGTTAGGTGAAGAAAGAACCATGTCAGTGTTGTCGGTTAGATTTGTGCAGCCTCTTGTGGACTTGGGTACCAAGTAATAGTAAAATTGCAATTTGGTAATTGGTATTTGGGTTAATTGCTAATTTTGGGAGTCATGAAACGGTCAATCCAGGCTGGAGAAGTGGCTCAGTCTCATAACAGATTGTGTGAGTAAGTGTTTCTGTGTGCGCATGCAGCCGCTATTGCTTTTTGCTCATTGCTAACATTTTCTTCTGTGTCTTATAAATTCAGGCTGTTAAAAGGTATTGGGAAACCACAGAAGAGAATGAAACGGAAGAAAAAAATGAACAGAACAGAACTCAACCAAACAAGGAGGAGAGAAAGAGGAAAACTGAAACACAGGGAATGAAGGGAGGTCAGAAAAAGAAGAAAACACTTAAGGGAAAGAAGACTCTATCTGGGGTGAGGCCAAGTCATTATTCTAAAGCAGCACCTTTTAAGAAGATACATTTTCAAGATAATTATCTCAGGCTTAAAGCTTCCTGAGGGAACTTTCTGTAATTTCTATGACCTATCTTGTAGAACAGTGACCCTTTCCCTGGACCTGCCCCAATCCCAAAGGAGAACATTCAGAAATTTGAAAGAGGAGATGCAACAAAACTGGTCAGTAATACAACTTGTTCACTTTGGCAAAATATCATCTTAGGAAAGCACTTGAGCAGAACTTTTGTGTTTTTTAGACATACAGGTAAAATGGTCCGATAACCATAAATCATTTATGTGGGTTCTTTTGAATGTCTTGAAATATTATAATTGAATCATTCCATAAAAATAATACATATGATTATTGCAAACACACAGCCTCCTATGTCATAATTGGCAGGAAAAAACTGTACATGCCTTATCAAAGGAGCTGTAAATGTGAGAAGTTTGACTGAAGGGTTTGTTCAGCAAAATGCATAAAATCAATTAAAATTTTAAAAGAGCTGTAGTTTCAAAACTATTAGACATACAGACCTAATATTTGGGGTTTCTCCATAAGTTTGGTATGGGAGAAGCTTAGAATTTTTTTCAGGGAAATCTAAGTGGATGACCTGGGACCCTCTGGGATATTTGGATATGGAGTGACCCAACAATGTAATTAACAGACTAGAGTACTAATGTATAAAGTGCTTACTACTAAATTGTCCCCCCTACAATTTGTCATCCCCTTTACTTCACATCTTCTGTCAATTGTACTTCTGCCTTTGTACAGTCCTCAGAAACCAGGGGAAAACTGAAACATACCCTGCTGCATTCTGAGAGCGCTTCTGACTTGGCCAAAACACAGGCTGCACGCTTTGACCTGCTGCTCCCTGAGGATGCTGGGTAATGAAGTTCATAATTTCCCAGTCTGGGAAGGAATTACTCGGCTTGGGAATCACCGTGGCCGAGATGTGTGACCGAGGGCTTTCCTTGTTTTTAACTGGCGCCAGGTTTTTGGAAGCCGACGAAGATGAGGAAACGTGCACCATTGCGCAGGAAGATATTGCAGAAGCTGTAGACATCACTTCTGCCACAAAGGTGAGACTGGGGCTCTGCTGACATTTTCCACTGCACAGTTCATGGAACTGACATATGGTCAGTCTTATTACACAGTCCAAAATCCTAGTTGGGTTTATTTTGCTACCCTAATGAAAGTGAACTGTAACGTTCCTGACCAGCATTTTGGCTACTACAGTAAAGCTAACAGCACGTTATTTGTTAAATACTTTTTTTGCATTCAGTACAAAACAATTGGACTTATTGCTCAGGTAGTGGAGGTTGTGCGCTGATTTTGTGTTTTAACTTCCTGTTCTCCACAGTACTTCAATCTGTCTCTCACGCAGTTTGGCCCTTATAGGCTGGACTACACACGAAATGGACGGTAAGTTTTCTTTCCCGCAAGTTTTGATGGAGCCGGTGAAAAATATCCTAAATTTGAATTTGCGGGTCCGGGTGGAAATTAAGAGGGCACATGGTTCTAAATGGCGTTCTAAAACACATATTTTAAAAATAAATAGGCTACAATTTTATATATATATTTAAAAAAAAAATACATGGATTAAAGTGTTCATGTGACATAAGGGGATAGTATGTTTCTTGGTCTTTTTGCCGATACTGTCACGGATTCTGCCTGAAATATCTTTCCGCGTGTTACAGCCATCTTTTGCTTGGCGGCCGACGGGGTCACGTGTCATGCTTCGACTGGCAGTCCAAACAGCTGATGTGTGAGATTAACGTCATGGAAACTGTGAATGATGTCAGGTAAGTCTGGGGGAAAAAATGAAGTTTGTAGATGCATGTCTGGCTGTGCTGCATCCCCCATGATAGGCACACGATCCGGACACTACCACACACTCGCACACATGGCTTGTGTCCTGCTGCTTTTTCCATTGCTCATATCTGAGCACACAGACACACTGAATGACTGTGTCAGCTGATTTAAATCATCAGTACATTTACTGCTTAGTAATAAAACTGTGAACAATGATAAAAATTTATGCTGTAGTGCATTCTGAGGGCAGCATGTCATCACCTTGTGCCATTTTGTCCACCAGATAGATAAGGAATGCATCTTTAGTTTAGTAAATCATGACAATGTGGGTGAAAGTCCCTAGATTAGCTTTAGTACCCGTGCATTAAAACCCACTTCTGTATTCTTTATACAGTCATGGCCAAAAATATTGACACCCCTGCATTTCTGTCACAGAAAATGCAGAAAATTCTCCCAGAAAATTTTTGCAATTACAAATGCATTGGTGTTATCATGTTTATTTCTTTTGTTGGCACTGAAAAACAGGCCTGAAGAACAAAAAAACAGAGGAAAAGACTAATCTGAGACATTCCACACAAAACATCAAAAATGGCCTGAACAAAATTATTGGCACCTTATCAGAATTGTAAGAGAGAATTGTATTTCAAGCATGTGATGCTCTTTTAATTTGTAATTCCATTCACCTGTAGCTATTGACAGGTGCTGGCAATGTCGTAATTCCCAGTTGCAACCAGGTAAAATGGAGAAATGCTGACTCAGGCTTGTTTTTGAGCATGGAGAAAAGAAAGAAGAGCAAAGAATTGTCAGAGGATTTGAGAACCAAAATGATAGAAAATCATGGGCAATCTCAAGGCAACAAGTCCATCTCCAGAGATCTTAAAGTTCCTGTGTCCACTGTGCGCAACATTGTAAAGAAATTTTCAGCCCATGGCACTGTAGCTAATCTCTCTGGACGTGGACAAAAGACAAAGATTGATGAAATGTTGCAACAAAGAATTGTTTGAATGGTACATAAAGAACCTCAATCAATTTCCAAGCAAATTCAAGCTGACCTGCAGGCACAGGGTACAACAGTGTCAGCTCTCCATCGCCATCTGAGTACAAAGGGACCTCACTGCTGACACAGAAACATAAAATAGCCGGATTGGAGTTTGCTGTAACTTACCTGTGGAAGCCACAATCCTTCTGGGAGAACGTTCTCTGGACAGATGATGCAAGAATAGAGCTTTTCAGTAAAGCACAACATTCTACTGTTTGCCGAAAACAAAAAGCCTTCAAAGAAAAGAACACGATCCCTGCAGTCAGACATGGAGGAGGTTCCCTGATGTTTTGGGGTTGCTTTGCAGCTTCAGGCCCTGGTAGTCTTGACTGTTTGCATGGTATTATGAAATCTGAAGAATGCCAAAGAATTCTGGGGTGCAATGTAGGGCTGGGTGTCAGCTGCAGGTCATGAGTCTTACAGCAGGACAATGACCCAAAGCAAACCTCAGAAATGGTTTAAAACAAAGTGCTGGAGAGTTCTGAAGTGACCGGCAATGAGTCCAGACCTAAATCCCATAGAGCACCTGTGGCGAGATCTAAAGACATCAGTTGGGAGAAGGAACCCTTCAAATCTGAGAGACCTGGAGCAACTGGCAAAGGAAGAGTGGTCCAAAATTCCAGTAGAGAGATGCAAAAGGCTGATTGTTACAGAAAGCGAGTAAAATCAGTTCTTTCTTCCAAAGGGTGTGCTACCAAGTATTAAGTTGTTGATGCCAATAATTTTGTCCAGGCCATTTTTGACATTTTATGTGGAATGTCTCAGATTTTTTTCCATCTGCTTTTTTGGGTTCTTCCAGTGCCAACAAAAGAAATAAACATGATAACACCAATGCATTTGTAATTGCAACAATTTTCTGGGAGAAGTGGTATGTTTTCTGACACAAATTTTTGGCCATGACTGTATCCACTCCTTTAGCATCTAGTTTACTCTACCACCAGGTACAATGTGTTACTGTTGCTAATTGTGCTATTAATGCTACATTATAGGATTTGGAATGTTCTTAAAGCGGATAATTATCACTGTTCCTGGCTCTGTCATCTACAGCACCAGTGTCCTTTTTTGTTCATTTTCATTGCCCATTTGCAGTCAGTCTCCCTTGTCTTGGCCTCTAGGTGGCTCCACACTGAGACCATGTTTGCAGTTGCTCAGAAGAAGTGGCTGTATATCTACGACTCCTCTGGGATCGAGCTGCACTGCATCCGCAGATTCAACGACGTGCTCCGCATGCAGTTCCTTCCTTACCACTTCCTGCTCGCTACAGCGGTGCGTCTCGGGAACTTTTCTACTCTATATCATAGTTTGCCAAGGGTGGAAAATGGTGGCAGATATGGAATAGTGATTTTATTCATAAAGCAAACAAATGAAGGACTTAATCCAAGGCAAACAAAATCGCTGGCATAATCGCTGCCGTTGTGCCTAAATTAACGAGATTTTTTTCATGCGGTTGCTTTGTTTTGTTCATTAATTTGTCTGTCTATAGTTATTGGCTAGTGTATGGCTCTGCTTGGAAGATTGCGTGTTCAAAACCTGTGGCTGGCAGAGTTATCGTAACACTGCAGCCTTGAGCAAGACCGTTAACTTCAGCTCTTGTTCTAAAAGCTCTTGCTAAATATGTAGCTAAATTTCTTGCGGCTTGTGTTGACATTAACACAGTATGATGATGATGAAACCCTTTATTGCTGTTGCAGTATACTGTCACTAGTCACAAGTACCAGCGAAAAACTGGCCATCAACCCGACCATACATATACAAACATCACATTATAGGGGGTAGACGGGTCAGGAAGACGGGGGATATAGGAAGGTCAGAGAGAACAGAATCACATGAGGAGAGAGGAGGAGAATAAAAACAGCCCCCAGACTGTACTCCAGTAGGGAGTACAATGTAGGAACAGAAAAAAACACCTCAGCAACATAAGCACATAGTCACTACATCTTACAACATAAAAAGTCATGACTTGCAACAGGGGAGGGAAATGGGGAGGTGGAGGAGTCCAGCAGAGACAGACAGCCATCCGGTCCTGCAGCCAGAGGCGCTGGTCACAGACCCGCCTGTTCACGCTGAGGGTATGAAGCAGTGAATGCATGGGATGGGGGGAGGGTGCGGTGAGTGTGTATCTGTACGCATGTATATGTGTGTGTATCCAGGTGTCCTTGGGATTGGGGGAGAGGAATGCAAGAGAGTCTCACTGCCTTGTTCTTCCGGGGGAGTTGTTAATTCACCAGCAGCCTTGTCTGAGGCCAATGCTGATTAGGGGGGAGCCAAAAGCAGATAGGATCAGGTTGTTTGGGTTTCCGGACGAAAAGCTGTAATTTCGCAGCTCCTCTAATGTCCACACTGGTCTCCGGCATCCAAAATCCTTTGCAAAGCTGTGAGCTTCTCCGTGATGTTATCCAGTTTGCGATCAATTGTCACAGTGATGTTATCCAGTTTGCGATCAATAGTCACAGTGATGTTATCCAGTTTGCGATCAATAGTCACAGTGATGTTATCCAGTTTGCGATCAATAGTCACAGTCTGAGTGCCAACAGCTCTGCCACCCGAGCCAGCCTAGTGGGGTTTTGAGCGGCTTTCACCGTTTTCTTCAATCCTCGATAAACCAGGGCAATGCCTAATCCAATCAGCATAAGACCTGTAATCATGGTTCCGAATAGGTAGATATCTTCGATGTCCTCCACGGAAAGAGCTACCAGACACACGACCCTCCACTTCTCCCATCCGTCCATCGTGTAGCCAGCTGCATACGTTCCTGCATATTTTGGTTGTCATGGCAGATTTTTTTTTTAAATTGCAGAGTTCCACAGGGTTCTTGCAGTACCTGGACGTGTCCGTGGGGAAAGAGGTAGCTGCTACATGTACTAAGGCGGGCCGGCTGGATGTGATGGCGCAGAATCCCTACAACGCCATCATCCATCTGGGCCACCCCACTGGCACTGTCACCATGTGGTCCCCGAACCAGAGGGAGCCGCTGGTGAAGATGTTATGCCACCGCGGGGGCGTGCGCTCGCTCGCCGTGGATAAGACCGGAACGTAAGTCGCGCTTTCAGCTGCCGACAGCTTCCCGTGTCTCACTCTCCCCTCCGCCGTCGGCTCTCGATTAACGGCGACGTATCTGTTCTTCAGGTACATGGTGACCTCTGGGCTCGATAGAAGGTTAAAAGTGTTCGACATCAGAGCGTTCCGGCCCTTGCAGTCCTATGGTTTGCCAGCAGGGGCGTCGTGTCTGTCTCTGAGCCAGCGGGGGCTGCTATCCGCTTCTACTGGAGACACTGTTCAGGTTGCCACTCCTCCACTTAATCCCCCTGCCAAAATTATATATGCAAATATATCTGGAAAAACAAGACTTTATGCAGAATATGCCAATCTTATACAGCTCTGAAAAAAACTGAGGCCACGGCAAAATTTTTTGTTTCACTTATTTCTCATTTTGTGGGTATGCTTCTCTGTAAAATATACATTTTTTTTTTTGCAAACTTCAACCTGGCTCTTCTGTTCCTCATTGATGAAGGGCTGCTTCCCTGCTTTATGGAACTTCAGTCTTGCTTCTAAGAGCCTGTTATGAACTTGTCCTAGCAGTGCACTTCACACCTGCAGTTATTGTTTCCCAATCCTTTTCAATGTCACTTTCTGTCATCCTCTGATTCATGAGAAACTGTCGGTTAAGTTGACAGTCATCTCTGGCATTACAAAGTCGCTTCCGCCCTTCACCTGGCTGCTTACTGGTCATTCTCAGTGTCTCCTGCTTCACCTTGTTCTTCTCTACTGCAGTCTTAATAATTTTGAGCCTGGAAGCTCCTGCCGTTCAGTGTAACCTTCTGCCAGCAGAACCAGGATTAAACCAGAATTTAACATTTCAGATTCTTAAAAAATAAGGAGTGGACTCAATTTTTTCTAGAGCTGTATAACTTCCTGGGTGTCACTTTACAATAAGGCTTCCCATATAAAGGGTTATGAATGGTTTATAATCTGGTTATTAATTAGGTTGTAACTTGTAATTATTAAACCATTTTAAACAATTATAACACTTTTCTTTTTATTAATGAGTTATTACCATTTACAAGAGGGAAACGGGAGCCTCATTGTAAAGTGGTGCCTCTTCCTGCCTTATGTGATTGACATGAAAGTCCCTCAGGCTCTTGGATGACCCCCTCCTTCATGGTCACAGGTCTACAAGGACGTGTGGGGGACACCTGTGAAAAAGCCCTACATGGCTCACCGCGTGCATGGCTCAGTGTGGGGGGTGCAGTTCTGCCCCTTTGAGGATGTTCTGGGCATCGGCCACTCAGAGGGCTTCACCAGCATGATCGTTCCAGGTCAGCGGATCCCCTTAGGGCACCTTTATAAACCGACCTTAAAGGACTATCCAAGCTCGTCACCGGCCCGCAGTCTATAAGCACCTAATCTTAACATGCGAAACACAAATGGCCCAGGGAGGATTTAAATGCTGTGTAATCTGAAATGGTTGAAGGAGGAGGGCTGCAGGGGGTAGATTAGAATTACCTGCAGTAACTGGCTAAGTAATCTACACATAGCTTTTAATGCATGTTGTAGTGAGAGTTTGGTTCATTGTGATTTATGGGGTCTGAATGAATTGCAGGCCCATGAAAACTTCATAAAAGGACAAAAGACAGATGAGTGTCAGGAACATACAAAAGGGATCATCCAACACAGTCTGACATGTCATTGTAAGGCAGTAGTTGTGCCCAATATGCCAAAAGGAATTATGGTTCAGTGGTGATATTTAGCACATCTAGCACATGAAATGCAGAATGATAGAATCACATGAAATTCAGGCATGTCATTGAAATAACCAGTTTAGCAAGTAGGAGTGAACTCTGACTGATTAGAGTGATGGCTTTTCCTTTGTAAACCTCCTGTCCTTTGACCCCAACTTCAATATAAACTTCTGTCTGAAATGTAAACTCTCTCTGTCTCCAGGCGCTGGCGAGCCCAACTTTGATGGACTGGATGCGAACCCGTATCGAACTGTGAAGCAGCGCCAGGAGTGGGAGGTCAAAGCCCTCCTGGAGAAGATCCAGCCAGAGCTGATCTGTCTGGAACCAGCCAAGCTGGGAGAGGTGGACCGGGCCTCCTGGGAGCAGAGGCACCGAGAGAAAGTGGAGCGACTGGTGAGCACCTCTTCGTCACCAGGCCTCCAGTTTAGCTCTAGGGACCCTTATGTGGATTTACATCGAATGATCAGAATTTTATCAGATTAAATGGTAACACCTAACTTGGCGGAGCACAAATATTTAGTAATAACTTACTATTGAGGTACAGAAAAGAAATAGTCACTACTTAAGATAGAAGATGCATCACGATTCATTAATGATGTAGGAGCATAAGATCATTATATCACTTGTATTATTCATTACTTGTTCCTTCAGTAATTCTTTAATAGTTCCTCCAGGAGTTCACAAAGGTTTACAGAATTAACAGATATAGTGACATATAATAACTGCATGATAAAATGTCACGATTCATTAATGATGAATTAACATGAGATCAGTATGTAACTAAGACTTATTTCGGTTAATTAGTACATAAGTAATAGTATGATACTAAAGTATTTGTGTAAAGTGTTTCTGATTAAATATAGAGAATTAATTTAAATGTGACCTAATGAAATTTGGACCAAGTATACCTTATGCAATCCTCAACATATTAATGTCTTATTTCTTACACGTATTTGATCTTTTCTTGACACATCAACTGAAGAGAACTGGACATGATGTAGGCTCCTATTCTGAGAGTCCTTTTCTGTTTAAAAAAAAAAACGTGAATGGTATTAATAATGATCAAATTCATGTGGCCTTCAGATCAAACTCTTGGCTTACTCTGGTCAGCAGTATGAGGTGACACTAGTAATGCAGCCTAAGTGAGTTGGAGGGGCTTGGCTGCGAGTAGCCCTGCACACTCCTCACTTAAAGGCCCGTTTCCCTACCAACAGGGATTTGACCCACTCGCCAAGGAAAAGTTTACGCCGCGGCAGAAGAAAAAAGGCCGGAGTTCAACTGGGAACATACAGAAGCGCAAGAAACAAGTGGCACATGAGGATCAAAGGGTAGGTCATTGGTAATCATATTCAAACAGGCAGCACACATGTTCGTTTGTGAACTCATGGACTGCATCTGCACTGATGTATCCTTGTAGGCCATCCAAAGTTCATGGTTGGGAAATGCGAGTTCTGTGCATTATGCTGAACTCAATGGATCATGTCGCCCCTGTAACAACAACATAGAACCTCACCTGTTCCATTTGTTTGACTTTATAAAGCTCTTAAATGAGACCTTTCAGAAGAAATATTAACACCCCCCCCCCTTTCTTGCCGTCTGTTCTTAGGAGTTGATGACAAAGACTGTGGAAGAGAGACTGATAAAAGAGAAAGAGATGTCGCAGAAGAAAAAGACAACACAGGGCCAGGGGTCTGCTCTAGACCGATTCAATAAGTAGGACAGTGGAACTGTGTCCAGATGCCTCCTGGCAGATATGGAGTGTCCAATGAACTTCTGTTCCATCGCTTAGCTGGCCTGCAAGAAAGTGGCTTCACTGGAGAATATTAAGCTGAGATATGAGATATTCTTTTGTAAGAATGTACTTTCATGGTGGTTATTTGTGTATTTTCTAAATGCCATAAGTCAAACCAAACAATATCCAATAAATGATGTCATGATTTGTGACACAACAGTATTTTGTAAACAAGTTTTAGTTAAATTAGTTACTTTATTTGATGTGCCAGGGCAGCATATAACACACACAAAATACAAAATTACACTTTCTTGTAAATAACTTTATCCATTAATTGTATTGCAACCTGGAATATACAAAATCAGGGAATGATCTAGCGATTCTCAGAAATCTCGAAGTTTAAGCTCACACAGTTCAAATGAATTTCCAAATGACCAGGAAACAAGACTTTTATTTAGGACGCTTTGAATGAATACGGAACATGGTATGTGTTTGACATCCAAGCCAATGGTGACAGAGTCCTTCTTGATTACCCTTTAAAAAAATATTTTTTTTTAAACCCAGAATGGTTCACTGTTCATGAGGACATGCATCATCTTTCAAGTCTAGGAAGTTAGAATATTGCTAGTGTCAAACATTTTCCAGGATCTGTTGGTAATACTTGTTTTTCAGATACAATATTGAAAAAAGCTATGGAAATAACCATGGTAGCGAAAAGCCGTCATAAAAGCAATGCCACTGGTATATTTAGGGAAAAGCGTGTCTGTAGGGTAGTGCACAGTACAGTAAATGCAAGCACCTAGTGCTGGGTGGTATACTGGTTCATCCGATATACTGGTTTTAATTTCTAGTGCAGTATAAGTTTTTCATATATCGCCGTAGCATAGCTGCAATGACAGCTGTAACACTGCAATAGGCGGCTGTAACACTGCAATGACAGCTGTAACACTGCAATAGGCAGCCGTTTGCTGCTAGAACCGCTACATATGACTGTGCGGAGTGTATTGAGAGTGGACCCCTTATAACTGAGACTACCCTTCTTACAAACAGCTATACTTGATAACACAACAATTCAGAGCTGTCACCATTACTCAAGCTTAATTACTTGATTATTAAAAGGCATTGATTAAAATCTTCCTTCTCGATTACTCGGCAATATGGCGGAAGACAGCGCATGCAGAATGAGTGTCCAGATATGGTGGGAAAGCAACATTTGTGTGTAAGCACTTCACATTAAAACTGAATGGAAATGAGGTAGTGTGTCAGTACAGCAAAGCAGAACCTAAATATCACCACAGCAAGACTAAAGTGCAAATACATATTCAAAGAAGACATTCAGGTTTGACAATCTGACTTTAGCCATAGATATGTCCCATTTAGCCCCTCAGAGTAGCCTAGCTTGTCTTTGTCATCACCGACTTAAATTATTTTGATTATGATTCCTGTGACAGAACATTCGCTGCTAAAACGAAGGTTAGCCCTGTTGCCTAGCCACATCATTTTACAATATACCGTATATAACAACCAGTTATTTTTTGTTAAGGTATTTATGTGGTTTGAGTAGGATTGAATGATTCTAGAAAAAAATCACATTGAAATATTGTGATTCTGAAAACTAACTATATACCAAGAGAATCTGTCAAATAAGCTGGTGGTGCTGCTATGTTGTGCCAACATACAGAAATCACTTGCTTCTGCTCAATATTGTCACTATGGAATACAAAAATGTCTTTTTCTGACCAGTTCTTGTTCACTTTTCTCCTCCCATTCTTTGTTTAATTTCTCACAAAAGCTCCACACAGTCTTATGAATCAGTCGAACAGCAAGGATGAAAACGATTATCTTGTCTCGGAGGTTGCATACAATGCTCGTGCAAAAGCAGCGCTGGTAAACATTAGACTGATTGTTTTAAATGTGTACTAGGAAATGCTGAAAAGGAATCATCATTAGAACTGCAAAACTTTACAGGTTTGGTTTCCTATATTTTAGTGCAACTTATTCATGGTTTAAACCCAGCAGACAAATATTGTCCAAAAACATTGAACTTAAGTGGAATGCCTAAATTTACTGTATATGTGAAATATTTGTGCCAGTTGCAATTATGTATACATATTATATATAAATGAATACTCGATGAATCATCAAATTAATTGGTAGATTACTACTAATTATTGTAGTGTTGTACAAAAGTAACAACACTACAATAATTCGCCATGTATAACTGTTCAGCACAATAGTATTTACAGCCTGTGTCTGAAATTTTGGATTAGGTCTGCAATTAAATGCATATCCATAAAGCAAAATGCCGAATATTATCGATTTATGATGGTAATAATTACTAAAATAATAAGCATGTTGTTACCAAAGTAAATTACGGTAGTACCCAATAAAACATGTCTCTATCGAGCTGAATATATATTAATAATTTAATGAAACATGTCAGTTATGTTAACAAGTTAAATGTAAATGATTTTTCACCTTTTAAAAAACATCCGTAAGCAAATTTTATTGTTGTAAACACTAAACAATACTTGGACAATGCAATGAGACAGCATTTCATTTGGTATTTTTCAAATCTTTTGAACATACTTGGTTCAGTGGGCTTATACCCCTTTTTAAACTAAACAAACTCAGTCCTCTTAAAGTGGACCAACAAGAAAGGGACTCTTTGCATTCACTGTAAGTTCAATTTGAAAAAGGATTCAGGTTTATTTCTGGCCCACTTCAGTTTAGATTGATCCTCTTTCTTTTCACGCTTTTTTTTTTTTAACCAGCAGCCATTGTTGTTTTTTCAAGCATCCCAGTGCAATAGCATGCAATCTGTCTACGGAAAGCCTAGAGGGCAAAAATACGATGGCAAAAGTAAAAGAGAACCTCAGATACTTTATGTTCACAATGCACAGGGTAAGCGAACTACAATGCGTACTTGAAGCAAACCAAACTGAGACCACCTCCCGAGGTTCGTTTCATAGAGGTGTGTGCTCATATGTAGTATTCACATATGTGCAAAAACTGATGACTAATTGCACTGAGTTCATTTTATAGGCTGAATGGGACGAAGTGTGAAAACACTCTAACAGTGGTCTGTCTTGTGAGTACTTTTACAGCCATGGCTGTTTGTCGAGCATCCCAGTGCAATAGCATATGGTCTGTCTACCACAAGCCTTGGAGGCTGAAACACAACGGCCAAAGGCGACGTGAACCTGCAGTGTTTCAGAGGGTCTGAGTTTGTTTGGAGTATTCACATCTGTGTAAAACATGCCGACTCCATTTTGAGGATGGAAAGGGACCAAGTGTGAAAACACCCTACATAGATAATCCATTTTTGGTTACACCTACAAATATATGATGTCTGTCAAGCTGCAGAGTTGTTTGAAAGCATATGTCGGCATGTACCTTGTAAATACAAAGCATCCCATTGCATCTTACATGACAGGAAACTTCCTTTGACAGAATCAAAGTTCCTCGACCTAACATAGCCCTTCCAAAAAAACCAGAGCAGACATAGTCTACACTGGCATCTATTTTTAGCCTATTTCTTCAGTCACCAATGGCTTTGGCATATCTCAGCTTTTGATGAATAGATCTCACTTGTTATATCTTTCATTACAGAGAATGTGGGTCTGATTCTCACCATAAGTGCATATCTCCCCTGCTCTGTAATCACCTTGTATGCAACCTCAGATCAACTGATTCTCTTGATCTCACTGGGACATCTTTGTTTTGGTCACTAGATTTACAAGGAATTTATATTCATGTATGTACAGCTTACGTGGATGTATATATCCATTTATATGGATACTAAGCACATTCACACAGAGGTTACAAGCAATTTAGGAAGATCAATTATCTTCACTATGAAACACAGGGAGGAATTGCAGAAACGGAGTCTAAGTCACTGTTTCCCAGCCTGGTCCTCGGAGACCCCCAGATGGTCCACATTTTTGCTACCAGGGGCTGGGGGGGGGGGGGGCAAAAACGTGGGCTGTCTATGGGTCAACAAGGACCGGGTTGGCAAAACACTGGACTAAGTGACCATCAAACCTTGAGCCCCAAAGATGTGAGGTAACAACACTACCCACCGTTAAACATTATCAATATAAAGTGTAACTATTTTCACACATATGGGCCCTATTTCTGTTTACTTCAGTCTTCCAGTCTCAGTTGCTGCATGATTGTACGTTTTCTCTCCACGGTGAACAGCAGATCTTCAGCCAGCCCTTAGTAGGCGTCGGGGAACCCGAGTTCGCAGATGCATTTTGATGCACGTGTCAAGCCTACAAAGGATAACGCATCATGCACTTTGCCAGTAACAAAAAATATACAGAAAGCAAAATGCAAACAAGTCTGCAAACAGTGTAGTGCTCTGTGAATTTTGCTTATTTCCCAAGTGTTCTCCCCTTTATTTTTCACGTTTCCTTCTATAGCTCCCCTTCCCCATCAATCCCTCGTCACAGTCATCCCACGGTCATTCCTCGCCTTCCCCCATCAGATCATTGAGCAAGGCTCTGATCTTGCAGATGCCCAAAGATGCCTTCAGACTAAGCCAAGAACAAGGAGGTGGGGACTGAACCTCAGTCCATAAGGCAACCATCTCTCTGGGGGAAGTGTGGTGCACGGATATCATGGCCTGGTAGCAGCAGCGGCTGTATGGCACACCGGGGCCCCCGGAGAACAGGGGACAGTGGGACGGGACGATGCCGGCCTTCATGGCAGACAGCCCCATAAAGACGTCCTCTGGGGGCAGGGGCAAGGGTATGGGGGAGGCGGCGCTGGCCTGGGAGATCTTTCTGGCGGCAGAGCGGGACAGCACATACGCGGTTCCGCTGCAGTAGTCAGGGAAGACCTCTGGGGTGTAGGCTGCGGCAGGCAGGTAGTGTCTGCTGGTGGGGTTGCGCTTGGGGGCCACCCGCATGTGAACGCGGCCCAGGTACAGCTCACTCTCCGCACTATGGCTCTTGTTCAGATAGCGCAGCAGGGTGCCAGGGTTGAACAGGACATCGTCATCCACCTTGGCAACATAAGGCGCCTGCTCGCAGAAGCGCTGGACCCAGCTGAGCATGGAGAGGGTTTTCAGAGTCAGGTTGGAGTAGGTGTCCAGGAACAGACCTTGTATAATGTCTCTGTGATCCTGGGCCTCTTCCTCAAGCCGCTGGGAGAGTACTGGGTCATTGGTCTGGCCCACCATGAAGAAAGTCATGACCCGCAGACCCCTTACCAGGGTCTCGCCCCCCCAGGAGTCCCGGATGGCCTGTCGAGCCTGTTGGTGATGGGGTGCGCTGATGACCATGGTGATGAGGAAGGGCTTGGCACGCTGGCAGACAAGTGGGCTGGGCATCAGGAGGTAATCATCAGGGGGGCTCTTCACAGTGCCGTAGGGATGCCCTACCCACGGCCCTACGGCCGCCTTATTCCTACCTAGGGCAACAGACCAGGACTCGATGGTATCCAGAAAGAGAATGGACAGGCTGCAGAGCAGCGCCATCAGGCAAACTACCATACTGCCCCTTCGCTTCCAAAGTGGGCCTCTGCAGCCCCAAGGCCCACGACGCACCATCCCAGCACAAGCATACGCGACTCCACACTCCCACTGGTGTAAAGCCTCTGCCGCCTTCTTATCAAGCCTCTCTCTAACTCTCTGCACTCTCCTCCCTCGTGCCAGTCGGCTCTCACTCTGTCTGGTCCCCTCAGGGTCATGTGTTCTGCACACTGCAAAAAAAAACAAAAAAAAAAAAAAAACAACATGGCTTATGTGTGACATGCAAATCCCACTCAAAATGCTAAAAATGTTCCCTTAAATTATGCAAGTGACTCTTCTGTTTTAATTTGCATTAAATGGTGGCACATCCTCCATACAGTTACACAGCAGATTTGGCTCCAAGTCTTACATAAAAATAATATTTGATGAAAATATGTATTTAGGATCCAACATAAAGTATATTTTAGAAAAAAAACATCACTCAAGTGATGCACTGACCTCATATATCATTCAAAATGTTTAAGAAAAACTTAAATTTCTCATACATTCAGAAATTGTTCAAAAAGTAAACACTTATTTACAGTGAAGCTGCAGCTATGGATAAAAATGGCCAAATTCCCAAAAAACTAGGGATTACAAATCCGAATACAGAAAAATGAGCAGAATGCGTTTCATTTTCTTTAGTTTGAGTTACAACAAGAACGTAAAAAATGCCATTTTGGATGAGGAAACCATTTGGTGATCATTTCTAAGATAGACCACAGTAACCTGAACTGAGATTGCAATCTCATATTTACCTACTCTTGCCTACTCAAATTTGCATATTCAGCACAAGGTTATTAAGTACAAGGGAAGCAGAATTTCAGTTAAAACAAGACGGCCATAATATTTGTAATACAAACAGGTTACAAAGCTCTTTTTAAGGTGTTTTCATTAGAATAAAAATGTAAAGATAAAAAAAAGATGAACTTTATTGATTTGACGGAAAAATTCTTGAGCATATAACAGAAAGGTACATAAACTGCAGACAAGCATATAGTGCAATTTAGATTTAAAAAAAACATTTTAGATGACTGATGATTTTTTCCTGTTCTTGACTAGACCAGCATAATTTTTTGCAAAAGACTTCACAAATAAAACCCTGTTCTGTAACTCAAGAGTACAGTAAATTTCTGTTAATCATGAGCATAGGCATGTTTCCTGGTGGGGTGGGGTGGGGTGGACCGGACCCCCCCCCACACACACACACACACGGGAAAAAGCTATTTACTCCCAAAAACCCAATTAGCAACTTCCCAGAGCCCCATTGTTGCATTACTTGAAATGCTGACCACAACAGACCTATATTATGGCATAGACAGCCTGGTCCAGGAGCAGATTCAGTGGTTATGTGATGACGCCCCTGACAGCCGCTATTACAGACTTCAAGAAAAAGACCAACCAAGTTTGTTTCGTAGGACAGTTTAACCATTTTATGATTTATTTTGAAACAACTTGAGCACTTACAGATACATATTAATAATGGAAAATTAACAGAAATGTCAGCTACATTACGCATGTTGCAAATGAAATATTAATTTGACATCTGTAATGCAACGTGACGGATCTTTTAGAAAACTATTTCATTCATCCTTACATGAACTCATACGTTCTCAGTGTCACCTTCCCATACGTCATTTCTATGCAAGATTAAGCAGTTCGTGGTGAAATCATGCGTGTAAAACGCCACTAATTATACGAGACGCGAATTTTTCAATACGATTATGCATCTCTACATAAATTGCATCATTATAGGCCTATTTAAAAATCTCGTATTACTATCTCATATGCTTCCAGGACGTTTTGATCTACATGCACTTTTTACAAGGACATCGCACTTAAAAACGCAGCCTACACTGTTTTATGTCTTTGTCATGGACACGTTTGCCGGTGTACTGACATGTTGACGATTCCTGTTCTGGCGAGATAGAAACGATTAGCTGTAAGTGTACGCGACATTGTCAGTTTAAATATTGAACATGTACTGAACGCTTACTTGTAAACATTTGAAAATATATACAAAGGTTTATCATAATTTATAGTGTCTAAAATATTTTCATTAGCATTTACTTAATAGTCCAGGGTGCATCTCCCTACCATGTGTCCCAAACTGCCGGGTATACATTACATAGTCACTGGCGAGCTTCACCAGAATAAGCCTGACCAGAAGATGGATGGATGGAAGGAAGGATTTCATATCTCGCACAAACCTTATTTCCAATGGCGAGGCCTCCTTCACAATCTCGTTCAGATGAGTGGCATTCCTACATTCGTTTTTAATGGCTGCAGTCGGATAACGGGGAACATTCAGTGACATCCGCTGACTCACTGCGCTGCACCTGCTGGCGCCATCTACAGGACATGTTAGAGCAATTCATATTACTGTCGGTTTCCAGGCGTCTTAAATCCAGAACTGACAGCGGTGTTTCCAATTACCTACATTCTACGCATGTTGAAGCTGCAAACTTAAAAACGAAGCTGACGTTGGCTTCTTATTCGCAGCTCCCGAATCATTCGCTTCTTATTCGCAGTATCTTATTCCGCGGCTGTAGTTAGGTTCTTATTCGCAGAACTCTTTATAGCCAGTATGTAAACATACCGGAATCGTTTGGGGTTCGGTGCAAACAGTGAACACAGATGAACACAATGAAAACAGGAACGAAGAACTGTTCAGTGCAAACATAAGAGTACAATGGGATTAAACAAACAAATACATAAATATATACATACACTAAAGTAAAAAAAAAATTGCACACCACGGGTTTGTACCACTTTTCATAAACTGCAGATTTTTTATTGTTAAGCATTGGAAAGTTGAGCGAACAACTACAAATTAAAACGTAAGTCAAATAAAACAAGTTTCCTTTATAATATGGAAAGAGTAAGTAACAGTGCCTGTCTGACGTCCTGTTAACTGGTGGTGTGATGATGGCACAGTCAAGTTCTACACTGTAAAAAAAATCCCGTTGTTTTTACGGAAAAAAACTGGCAGCTGTGGTTACCAGAATTATTCTGTAAAAAATACTGTACACATGTAAACAACTTTACAGAAACATCTATAAATTGTACTGGATTTCAATGTAAAACAACCACCAACTACATGTAAAGTTTACTTGGTTTCAGTGTAGAATAAACAACGATTAGATGTAAATTATACTGAAAGAACTGGTACAACAGCAGAATGGCCCTGCTAAATTAACAGAAAGAAGACGTTGAATCTACAAATTAACTATGTAAAATGTTACAGTTGTGGTATGTGAAATAGACAGACTGTTTTATAAAGCTGTTTATATTCTTAACGAATTTTTTTACAGAATTACTCTGGTAACCACAGCTGCCAGCACTTTCTTGCCGAGGTAACACGCTCCTGAAAAGAACTACATCAGGCACCCAAAGAGCACCGAACCAATTATACACAGGAAACACGAGGTTGTCAGACGCTCAACTGTTAGTTGCATACACGGTGGGAGATTTACGGACGCTAAATTACACATGAGGATCGGACAGGGTACACATAAGACACAGGTAAACACACGCGACAATAAGGAAATATAACCATTAGCAATAACAACAACAATACAAGGGCTATTTACAAATGCGCGCGGGGCATGCTGGGACATGAGCCCCGCCGGTGCTGCAGTATTTTTTATCACCTCAGTGGAAAAATACCTTCTTATCAATGGACCAGAGGTGTTGCCATGAGGTGAAGTTCTGACGGTAGCCCCGAATGTGCCGTCAAAAGCTGTCTGACAAACCAGAAAATCCTGAGTTGTGTGGACTATTTCTTGTTGGTTCGAAACGCACGTAGCAAAAAGCAAGTGTTGATATATCATTTAAAGTTTTACTGTTTCTCATCTGTAAAGCATAGAATATTAATTTGTAAAATGTAACACGGTTATCTTTCAGTATAAACAAAGTTGACCTGATTAAAAAAATATTATTTTCACACTGTTATGGTGTATTTTTAACTGTATTGTACTGGTTTTTATATTACAGTTTGTTTACGTTTTACTACAGTAGTTTGTTAACTACCAAAAAAATATTTTTTAAAACATATTTTTACTGAAAAATTAAGTTTTTTGTTAAGCATTTTACAAAATCTTAATGTCAAATATACGCTGCTCTTTTGTTTTTCCTTTTGCAGTTTTTTTATGTCGTTATTTTACAGAATTTCTCAGTTAATTTCACGGACATTTTTTACAGTGTAGGCTGTCATTTAAAATTACATCCCATGAAACAGAGCAGTATTTAATGTACCTTGTAGAAATGGCTTGGATTTTCTCTGCTATTATAACTGCTAGAGGTTGTCACTTCGATGAATCAAAGATATGACATTTTCTAGCTAATAAAGGTACTCAAATGGTAAACATACTGTAAATTTATTTGAAAGAATATTGAGTGTATTTTTAGTAAATGTTAAGCGAGTAACATGTAAATGTAGAAAATTTCAGTGTGTGCAAAAACTTTTGACTGGTAGTGTACATACATACATAGAGAAAAATACAATGCATATTGGAACAACTGCAGATTGCACTTGATAGTGATAATGATAGTGAACTATGCAAAAGTGGGACATTTCCTCAAACCTTTTTTTTCTATTAGCTGCATGTCTTCATGCATTATTTAAGAGTTAAATGGGATAAAACAGAGAGGCACCTCTCACTTCTTGATGTGCTAGTTCAGGTAAAGTGGGACAGCTCTTCTGCAAAAGTGGGACAGTGATTTATGGTAAAGAGGAAACATATACTTTAATTGTACAAATCAATATTTTATTGACCAAGAAAACAAACCATTAATAAATTCATTGTAACCTTTTGTTCATAATATCCAAGTACTTCAAAACAGCAATTGTTGGTCGCAACAACCAGTTTGCCACCAATGAAAACGTATTATCTTTTTATCGTATCATGATCTGCCTAGAAACAGGTCAAAATTGGTTGATCATGATCGACGAGTTGTGCACACTCAATCTATGGTATTTATATGTAAAAACATATCCCATTTTATCTGAGTAGTACTGTCCTACTTTTTCGATCACCTTCAGTAAAAGTGAGGCAGCACTAAATGGTCAGATTACTCAGGCATAATGTGATTTTTCTTTTGTGACAGAAACTGGCAGCATAGCCCGGTAGGCCAATTGTAGGCTAGGCGAATGTGATGCACATATTACATAGTAGGTACGTCCATGTAAGGAAACACTGAAGTTAGCCTGGCCCAGATTGGTTTTGTACCTAAACAGCTGGAAACATGGCATTTTAAGCAATTAATTTGAATATGAAGCCACATCTCCAGTTGGGTTTGGGGGTCTTATTCATCTTGGGCCAAGCAAATGTGAAATACATAGTACATAACAGGTGCACGTCTGTTAGGAAACACTGAAAGTAACCTGGGCCAGAGGTTATTGTCAGGTTTATAACCACTGTCAACATGTATGTTGAAGCAATTGTGCACATTGATGTGAATAAAAATCCATGGTTCTAATAGGGATTTGAAGGTCTTATTCATCTTAGGGCAGGCAAATATGAAATGCATGGTACATAGCAGGAACACCACTGTTAGGAAACAGTGAACCTGGGCCAAGATGAATAAGACAAATTCCCTGTTTTTCAGAACTGGTTTCAGACAAAACCAATCCAAGCCAGGCTCAGTGTTTCCTTATATGGGCATACTTGTTATGTACTATGCATTTCAAATTTGCCTGCTCCAAGATGAATCAGACCCACAAATCCAACTGTAAATGTGGATTCTTATTCAAATGAATGTGTACAATTGTTCACCATGCCATGCTGCCAGTTCACCGTCACGAAAGAAAAATCACATTATGTCAGAGTTATCCGACCATTAACATTACAGGGAGATTTGTGAAAAACACGTGAAATAAACGTGTTACTACGGAAGTCTGTAGAGGACATGCATAAACTTTTTTTTCTTTCTTTTCGTTATCTCGAGATCACGACTTATTTTCTCGTGATCTCGACATAACGAAAGTCGTTATCTCGAGATCACAACATATTTTTTTACGCCGACATCTTTCAAACGTCACCCGGCAACCATGGAGACGTCCCGGACTCTCCAGTTGGTTGGTAATGAAACTGACATTACCAAGGCTACTATATCATTTCAGGCTACTATAATTTCTCCGACGGTATAACTACAAATTTCTGAACCTCCTTCTCAAATGACGAACACTAATATGACAATTTTCTAGCACCGACAGACAGTGTCATTTCCTCGTATCCATGATTCTGTGCAATATATCTCGACTTTTTCCCCACAGTTTTAAATCTAACTTTTTTTTCAATTAACAAGTGCAATATAGCCACTATAAAAGTGTATTGCACCAATATCACTTTTCCTGTAACAACTTCCTGTAACTGAGGTATACAACCTCAACCTTAAAAAAGGTAGTAGACCAGTGGCCCGTACTACGAAGCGGGGTTACTGGCTTATCGGGGTAACTTGTCGGATTTACAGGCCACAGGTGTCTCCAACTCCGGTCCTGGAGAGCTACTAATCAGTAGGTTTTGTTCTGTCGAAAAATACTACCTATCGAGACGTGCTATCGAGCCTTTCTGCGCATGTGTAGTTCCACCGTTTTGGGATTAGGGTTAGGTTTTAGGGGTTAGGGTTAGGGTAAGGGTTTTAGGGGTTTTGGGGGGTTAGGGTAAGAGTTAGGGTTAGGGCTATCTATTAGCACTACGGTAGCATTTTTCGACAAGGCAGCATACAGTATATCGACAGAACAGGTTTCCTATCCTACCTGGCTTCTGATGAGCCACACTACTTCTCAGGTGGCTGCCCATCGCGAACAGCTTGCTCTACAAAGAGCAAGTTGAGGGAGGCGTAAAAATAATATCCCCACGGGGATCAGTAAAGTATAAAGTATCAATTAAATACCAGGAGCAGGTGTGGCTCATCAGAAGCCAGGTAGGATAGAAAACGTACTGAACAGTAGCTCTCCAGGACCGGAGTTGGAGACCTCTGTAGTTGACAAACTCAAATTTCCAGAAAAAAACCTCAAATATCGCACTAAAATGTTTTTATGTTTTTTGAGGTGGTTTTTTGCGAGTAAAAAGAACTTCGCAAAACCGCAAAATTAGAATTTGTGAATTAGTAGATACAATAGCTGTTATTCTATTAGGCTACACGTTTGCTCATTTCACATCCTCTTTCCCTATCCATGTTTTCAACGCGTACATAAGAACAGGATTATTTTAACCGCAGTCATTAACACCGGTTTTGTAACGTAAATCCCCGTTTAAATGTATCTTAATCTAGGGGGATGACAAACGACTCCCGTTACTAAAAACGCAGCCTGCTTCAGCCACACAATCGTGTCTAATACGAACTATGGAATTGTGAGTTTGTGCTCTCCAAAGACCATTGTGATCTGATAATTTCTTTGGTAACATTACTGTTTTTGTTGGACCCACGTTCATGATTTTAGTAGCCTAATTTTATCAAATGTTTCATTTAGCCTAACATTTCTATGCAGCTAAAGCGAGTAACGCAGGCAAACGGAAACATCCGTATTTAAACGAACCTGTAGGAGAAATTTTCGGCTGCTTCTTCCGCGTAGATGCTGTGCAAAAGATATAACGAAAAGTGTAGCGGCAGTGACCTACAAGAAATCAATGCGCACGACACGAGGGGCGCAACCCGTGGGAGGAGTAAAAAAAAAAGAAGGTTTAAATAGTTCAGACCTTTTCTTAGTGTTCCGGCATGTGTGTGTTTGAGTTTAAGCGCATTTTCCCCTACATTGTGAACCGAACTGAAAATTTGCAGAAACCCTTTTATTGAAAGTATGGTGGTAGCCTGCTATACGTTTATTTGGTCCTTCTCACGAACATGAAAATCCTTAGATGAAAAACGAAATGTTACAGTCAGAGGCGATCCTAGGGTCTGTTGGGGCCCCAAGCAAAAATTCACTGGGGACCCCCCCCTCTAACCAGTTTTTGTTATCATTTTAAATAAATGATCGCCATCTAGTGGCTTGGGGGCCCCAAGCAGCTGCCTGCCCTGCCTGCTGACAAGATTTGCCTCTGGTTACAGTGAAATACAGTGTTTGTGTTTTGTGCAGAGCAATTAACATTACTGGAACATATTGGCTATATTAAAATAATAGACGTAATTTATAGCTCTAATTTAATGATCTCTCAACCATTTTCCCAAAATAGGCATTACCATTGCAGTTTTAAGATCGAATAGGCCTAACACAGAACCAGATTACATATTATAAACCTTTTGTCACGATCCGCTCCGTTCGATCCCGATGTGTGCCACGCCCAGGGGCGGATTAACGCACAGGCTAGATATGGCTTAAGCCTAGGGGCCCCACGTGTGCCAGCCTGCAAGGGGGCCCCCATTGGCGCGGAGCGGGGCTGGGTTGGGGGGCCCACAGACTACTGTAGCCTAGGGGCCTCCGTACACCTTAATCCACCCCTGGCCACGCCCACCTCATTACCTCGTGTGATTCCCTGATTGTTCTCACCTGTTGCTCGTTACCAGTAGCTTGTCTTTTGTATTTAGTCCTTGTCTCAGTCTGTCTACCCAGATCCGTCATTATATTGTTATGGTGTTGTTCCCAGTGTGCGTTAATAAACCCCGTTTGCCCGTCTCACTGGCTGGACTCTCCTGCTTCACCGCTCGCCCGCCGGCTACCGTGACAGAATGACGGATCTCGTGAAAAGCACAAAGCGGCAGACCGAGCACCACCGGTGTACTGGCGTTCCCAGCCAGAAGTCGAGGAGGACCCCGTAGCCCTGGAGTTGGCTAACCAGGGCGCTGACCTCCTTAGCAAGGACCGCCCAGCTGGGCAGGAATACCCGCTGACTAAAGCCCGGAAATGTCTCCGTCGCCTGCAGCGCCGGCTCACCGAGTGACGGGAGGAGCAGCAGGAAGAAACTCCATCGCTCTTCCTGGGAGCCTGCTCTCTCCTCCCTGCCTGGGATGACACCGCCGCTGCCTGCCTATAGCCAGCTTCCACGGCGAGCAGCCGCCTCCATTGGAGGCTTATTTTTATCGGCCGGAGCGTCTGGGGCATGGCGGCATGGGGCATGGCGGTAAGAGACGCTATACCCCGGGTCTCTAAAGCCCTTAAAGGGGCAGCGCCTAGTCGCTTGGCTCCCCTCCTGACGCCCGTTCCGGACCTGCCTGCTCCGGACCCGCCCGCGGCACCGCCTGTCCTGCCTAACCCGCCTGTCCTGCCTGCAGTCCCTGCAGCTGACACCGCTCTGCCTGCGGCACCGCCCGAGGTGACTGCGGCTGCGCCCCCTGCTGGCCGCGTGATGGCGGCGCCCGCCGAGGCGCCCCCTGCTGGCCGCACGCCTGAAGCGCCTACCAAGGCGCCCCCTCCTGATCTGCCTGTCTCACCTGATCTGCCTGTCTCGCCTGTCCTGCCGGCGCCTGATCTGCCTGTCTCGCCTGTCCTGCCGGCGCCTGATCTGCCTGTCTCGCCTGTCCTGCCCGCGCCTGATCTGCCTGTCTCTCCAGACCTGCCCGTCCTGTCCGTCCTGCCCTGCTCGTCCATGGATGAGGTGGCACCACCGGTCGCCTCACCAGGAGAAGACTCCCGTTCCCCTGTCTGGCCGGGAACAACGGCCTGGTGGACCCCGCCTGTCAGTGTCCCGTAAGGGACGGGGCCACAGACGTCGGGCCCAGTTCCCGCTCGCCCTCGCTCGCCTTGCTTGGGGCTCCGGAGTTGCCAGCTGCGCCTCCGGCTCGTGGTCGGCGGTTGCCTCCGGGTCCCCCCACGGTGCCTCGGTGTCAGTCCTCGGTCCCGCCTCCGGCGCCTTGTCGGTCGCATCCGGGCCCTCCTGCTTCGGCGGGCTGTCGGACGGCGTCTCCGCCGGCTCCGGCTGCGCTGTCGCCTGCTGCGGCTTCCCCCTCCTGCCCGCCTCCGCTGCTGTTCCCTCCTCCTCCCTTCATGCACCCTCCGTCTCTCCCTCGTCCTGTCCCCTCGGCCCCTGTATGGTTCCCTCCGGCTCCCTTCTTCCTCACCTGCGGCCCCTCCGGCCGCCGCCCGTCGCCTGTCTGAGCTCCCTCGGGCTTCGCTCCTCCCTCCTTGTCCTTTCGTCCCGCCTGTCTCTGCCCCTTGTCCCTCTGTTCCGCCTCTGTTCACCCCTGGCCCCTTTGTGTCGCCTGTGGGTGTTCCTTCTGTGCCCCCTGTGTCTCCCTTCCTGGTTTGTCTTTCTGCGTTTCCTGTTCTTTGTCGCGTCCTGTCTTTCTCGTCCCTGTTTCTGTTTTGTGTTTCTGTTCTGTTTCCGGTGACTCGTTGATGTTTTTGCTTTTG